ATCATCTTCATCGTTATTGTCTACATCAATATCTTCTATGATGATCTCATATGGACCTTCCCTAGAAAGTTCTTCTAGTATAAAGCTGTTATTTCTATCGAGTGCACCAAATAAATTGTTAATAACTTCAGATTCTTCTGGTTCGTCCAAATCAGAAACATCGGAATTGACAAAATTAGTTAAAATTTTTTCAATTTCAGCGTCCATTAATTTTATTGGAATTTTTTAATTAAATAGATGATATCAGAGCTAAAACAAGAACGTCTGTATCATAGCAGCAACATACGCAAAATGATTTTATTTGTATTGTGTGGTATCATTTACAACCACAACTTGTGTTTGTATCCATATGGATACATGCAATGTTTAAACTATAAATTCAATTATGCGAAAAGTTAAAATAAGTACTTTTCTTTATGTTGAGTGTATTTTTCTTTTAAAAAAATGCAATTATATGAATGTTATTTGTAAAATAAAAAGACATCTTTCCCAAAAAATAAATAAGTTAAGTTTTAAAAATGCTATATTATTGGCAGTTTTATAAATATCCCAATGTTTTTTATGTAGAATGATTCATAAGGTCTTATAAAACGGTATAATGTCAAAATGTAAGTCAATTCTTTGACTTGGCGTATTTTTAAATGCTTGCAAAGTTGAGTGTATCCATATGGATACAATATAGCGAAAGGGTTAACAAACCTGACGTTATTTTACAAAGAGAAGCATAAAATGCTCTTTTATATCATTTTTAATAACAATTGATAATATAAAACAAATATTATAAATTTTCTTATTCTTTGCATAATAAATTTCACTGTAAACAAAATATTTAAATTAAATTGAACTGAAAGGTAATCGTATGGCAACAACGAAGCTGTGTACATACAAAATGGACAGCTGTGTTGTTTTGTGTACATGCCGGCCATTGTTATGTGGCTGCCTTCTTTTAAATATTCATGGAGCACATATACGTCGACTACTTCAAATGATGCTCTGGCACATATACCTGCCTACAAAATGTTAGCACCCTCAATAAACTCTTATTTTTATACTATCGCAACAAAGTTGCTAAGGAGAGTATTATAGGTTTCTTCACATAACGGTTATTTGTATGTCCTAAAACTAAAAGAGTCAGATATAGGGTTATATATACCAAAGTGATCAGTGTGACGAGTAGAKTTGAAATCCGGGTGTCAGTCTGTCCGTCCGACCGTCCGTGCAAGCTGTAACTTGAGTAAAAATTGCGATATCGTGATGAAACTGGTACGTGTATTTCTTGGCTCCATAAGAAGGTTAAGTTCGAAGATGGGTAAAATCGGCCCACTGCCACGCCCACAAAATGGCGAAAACCGACAACCTATAAAGTGTCATAACTAAGCCATAAATAAAGATATTAAAGTGAAATTTGGCACAAAGGATCGCATTAGGGATTGGTATATTTGGACGCAATTTTTTTGGAAAAGTGGGCGTGGCCCCGCTTTCTACTAAGTTTTTTGTACATATCTCGGAAACTACTATAGCTATGTCAACCAAACTCTATAGAGTGTATATATAGAGTTCAAATATGGAAGAAATCGGATAATAACCACGCCCACCTGCCATACAAAGGTTATGTTGAAAATCACTAAAAGTGTATTTAACCGACTAATAAAAAACGTCAGAAAGACAAAATTTTACGTAAGAAATGGCAGAAGGAAGCTGCACCCAGGCCTTTTTTAA